GTGCGAGGGGATCCTTGTGCTGTGCTTAGCTTGGTGCCTCCTGTGCACGGCTCCTCCCCCTCTCCCCCCTTCAGTTCCTCTTCTACTATCCTAAGTAATGGACAGAGCTCTTCGTTCTCCTCAGCTTCTCCCGAGGGAGAGTGAGAAACCCTCCAGTTTTGCTTTCCCTATCTCTCCACTGTTTTAACACTTTGCTTCATCCTGTGGTTTGTTTTTTTTAAATGTTTTTTCTGTCAGCCTCTCACAGAGTTCCCGCTTCGGCGAGTGCAGAGGGGAAAGGCCCCCCCCCCCCCCAAAAAAAAAGGCCAGGGAGTGAAGAAAAGAAAGAAAAGCTGAAAAACAATTTTTAATAATGTAGCTTTAATGGCAGTAATGGTCACAGGGGCAATCCCTAAGGGGATGTCCACACTACATAGTTTTGTTGGAAAAATGGCTGTTTTTCCGAAAAAACTTCACTTACGTCCACACTGCAATCACATTCTTCCAAAAGTAAATCAAAAGAAGAGGGGTTTTTCAGGCATTGGTAATCCTCTTTCTACAAGGAAGACGCCGTTTTCTGAAAGAGCTCTTTCAGAAAAAGGCGTGTGTGGACGGGGAATAGGGCGTTCTTTCGAAAGAAGAGGAAAGAGGAAAAAGCACAGGTGCCCTGGTGACCATTCAGTCCATAGCAATCACAGCTTACATGCAAGAGAGCGTCCATTCAGTCTGTACGCTCTCTTTCAAAAAAACAGATCACTTTTTTGATGCATTTTTGCAGTGTGGGTGCTCTCTTTTGAAAGAAGTTTTTTGGAAGATCTCTTCCAAAAAAAGCTTCTTTCGAAAGAAGCCTGTAGTCTAGATGTAGCCTAATAGAACACTTGCTACAACCCTGGCAGATGGCACAGTGCCAGGATCATTTGGTTTTAAGAAATGTCACTCATGCCAGGAGCTGATGCCAGTCTTGGATAAACATGCAGACTGTATCCACTGTCTTGGGGAAGCGCATGTACTAGCAGCACACTCTACAAGGAAGAGAGCTGCCTCACCATCACCACACGAACTGGCTGAAAAGGGACTATCCCCATCTAAGTCCCTGTCCCATCCTCCCGAGGATGTGGACGGGACAAGATGAACACCCCCAGCACCAGGGAATCAAATGCTTGGACTTGCACCGCGACCTTGAAGTCGCGCTCAGCGTCGGTGCTGAAAAGATCATCCTCGGCACTGGACATCTCCTGCTGGCGCTCAAGCACACCAGTGCCGGCATTACTAAAGGATGCGGCACCAACACCCATGCTGCAGACAGTTAAACAGCCCTCCCATAAGGAACGGGCTTTGGACACGAACCTATCATTCCCCATCTGCATCTGCCCCCCATGGCTGCTCCAGCTCAGTCTCAGCATGATGCAGGCACACAGGGCAGTAGATCCCGATCTACTTGTTGGTGACCACTACACTAAAGCATGCATCCAAGGGAGGAATTTGGCTCTTAGGAAACGTGGATTAATTCATTAACTTCTGCATAATACATTGAAACATTTCTTAATGACTTTTCAAAGGACCAACAAAAAATAGATGATTTAATGTAATGAATTTTTGAAAATAAAGATTGAGTATTTTGGGGGTAGTCTTTTAAGACAGAAGATACTGATCTCTTTGGTAAAGTTCACTGAGCTGTACTAGTGAAATTTTTTTTAAAATCACAGCTTGGTTTGGAAATATTCTTTCTCATAAATGCTACCCCTTGTGGTTTGGGAAAAAAAATCTTAAGATTGTAAACCAGAAGGCAGTGATCTTGTCTACCTCTCTTTTAAAAATAACTAGCGTAACAGGTATGATCTGAATTGTGGCCTATGGCTATATTACCATAATATAAATATTAAATAATAACAGTAATAGACCATTGTTCAGTTCAGGTGCAACACAACTGAATTGAGTACACTGGATGGCAAAGGAGCTGAAATAGGGCTTCTGCTCATGTCCAGTGAGTACTTTATTATCTTTATGCAATAGCTCTGAGCCTTCCTTTTCTTTCTCTCTGCATGAGCTGAGTAGGGTTCAGAGAATCTTCTTCCCTTCCCCTCTAGGCAGAGCATGCCTCTACGCCAGCAATTCCTCCAGGGGCAAGAAGCAGGGGCATTTCTGATCTGAGCCCAGAATGAAAGAAACATGCTAGTTTGGGACCTTTTTCCAATTATAGTGTTCCCCAGTATCTCAACTTTTTCTGTTCATTGTACCACTTTAATCTGATACAAAGGCCATCATTTACTATTTGAGTAACTTCTCAGGGACCTACCAAAGCCAATCAATTAGAGAACATGGTGGCAGTTGCAATGTAATGTATGTTAGGAGGAATAATTTGAAATAGTCATACATAACTATAAACTCTGAGGTCAGGTCTACACTAGATCTGCTAGGTTGACTTACGGTACTCAGCTCCAGCTATGCAAAATGCTGAGCTTTAAGCTGAGCCTTGGTGATGTTCACACAGTGGAAGGCTGATAGGAGCAAATGCTCCTGTCTGCTTCCCTTACTCCTCAGAAAAGGAGGGGTACCGGATGCCGGTGAGAGCTGCCAATAGTGTTCAGTTTACGGGTCTTTAAGGGCTGTTCCCCACTCTGGCGCTCTAAGTATAGAAGTTGGGGGCCTCCAAAAGACGTTAAATACCTTGCTTCTATAGACTCTGCTTTCAAAAAACAAAAACAAACAAAAAAACACTCCCCAGATTGACTGGCTCTGGAAGATAGGCTGTTACCATCAAGTGGTTTTTAAAAAGCCCTGAAAACCAGGAGGAAACACTTGAATTGCTTCCCAAGAGGCACCCCAAGCTCTTTTGCCACAAGAGTATTTGAAAAAAGAAACAAAAAAACCCACATAGCAAACAAAACTCTCTCTCTGATAGCTGACCCGTCAGGCTGAGTAGGCACATAGACACAGCTCAAGGTTCATTCCAGTTCCATGCCAATATTTCTTGTAGGCATGGTAATTCTGGTTAATTTCATCTTGTTCCTCCAGCTGCTGACTTAGAACTCGTACACAAAGAGAATAAGCAAGGTATATATTTACAACTTTAATTTCAGCACTGTATTCCACTGGTGGTTCTGGCTTCCTGCCAACACCTTTAGCTACCAGAGTTTAATCCTTCAGCACTCCTCCAGTCAATCACAGGGTCTATACTAGACCCGCTCAATCAAATGACAGAAGTTAGAAGAGACATAATTTGTTAGTAGAGCTTTCTGTAGATTCAGGGCCTAATTGTGGTGCTTGACTCAAAGCAAAAAAACCCCCAAAACACTAAGAAGGCTTCCAGGCTCCTGTAGGAGGCCTTCTAGTTTGCATGTAATGATGAATAGTGCACAGCACTCATTGTTCCTAGTGGCAGTTTCCTCTGACTCTAAAGTCGCAATCTTGTTAGCATATTTTCTGCCGTTTCTTTTTGCGCAAAACCCCCATTTTGTGTAAGGTCCTTATGCGTCTCAACGGAAGCAGCTACACTGCTTCTTTTGTGAAAAAACCCCTTGCACAAAAAGAAACGGCATAAAATATGCTAATGAGACCACGATTTATGCTAATGCATTCCTCATTAGCATATTTTCTGCCACAAAAACTTGCGGTGTAGACGTAGCCCAAGCCTGGATAGGGAGTCTTCAGTTTTGCCAGCTCCCTGAATCCTTCAACTTCCATTCAGACCAGCAATACATCCCTTTGTCCCATTGCAGTTTCTGAACCCTCTGTTTCCAGGTGCCATCCATCTGAAAGTTTGATATCCTTTTAAGAGCTAATTTAAAAACAAATAGCAATAACCAGGGTAATTAGTAATTTAATTACGGGGAAATTTAGGAAAAATGTAAAGATAAATAGATTTCAAGTTTCTATTTTGATTATATTTGGAAGCTTGCACACCATGTAAGTTTTGTTTTAATGCTGATTTAAAATGCTTTCCGATTTAAAAATGTATATTAAGTGCTTCTGCTGAACTGCTGTATTAAAACAATTGCTGCAATATTTTCCTTTCATCTTCAGTTTTTAGAACATTTGCCGCTAGATGGCAGTAGAACTGCTGTTTTTTGTTTTGTTTTTGTTTTTTTGCTCAAGGTTGTAAAATAAATCTTTAAAAAATACTAGAATTCAGGCATTACTATAAAAGTTCAACATTGTAAAGTAATACTGTATTAAATAATACTGTATTAAATAATAAAAAATTTAAACAAGAGTTTGGGAGGCACTTCTCTTGATATTTCATTAATGCCTTTAGACTTTCCACTGCTTGTTTATTATCTCTTTTGTACGGTACATTGACCTGGGCATATTTTTAATTCTAGGACCAGTAAACTAGTTAGACATTCAGAAAGCACATATAAATATTTGGATTGGAGTTGAAAGCAGGAATTAACAAACTGCCTCTTTCTTTTTAGTTAAGAATTATAGATGAGGTTCTTTGTTCACAAATAAATAAAGTAGATCAAAGGCTCCTACCATAGATGTCATAGGACTTAGATCTTAACTTTCCTTCCAAATACATATTTTGAAGAGGTCTTTTTCAAGGGGTGCCTTATTCAGTATTTGCTAATCCTGATTCACTCAGTCATAATAATCTAGTTTTCATATACACTTTCATATGATTAATCATTGTATTTGTATGTTGTTTAGATAGTTATAATATGTAAAGTCCTGATTCAGCATACACCAAAATGAACCATGGGAGTGAGAAATAGCCATTGTCTATTAGTGTATTCCATTAGAATATAACATTTGATAATCAGAAATTAAAAAAGCTATATTTAACTGAAATGTGATTATTTAGATAAGCAGAATACAAGGAGAGTTGTGATAGGATCAACAGCCCTGCTTTTACAAATGCTCTTCACCTGAGCAACTCACTTGGTTTTTTGTGACCAAAGTATATTAGTAGTGTTTTTCAAAATAGCCACAATCTATCTGAGGATTTTACCCATTAAAGATATCATATACTAAAACATGGCTTAATATATTGTTTCTCCCTCACTGTTGATTTTTTCAAGAGTTTGCTGTGCCATCTCCTTTCTTCTTCTGAGTGGGGAACTAATGAAGTTGGTACGGGTACCTTTATTTCTGCTCTTGGCTACACGTCTGTAGATTACTATTCTAAACTGATTAAAAATGTGAGTATTTTGTATAATGGAGATTTTATTAGTAATAAATCACCAGTCTGTAAGACTGTTGGAAAATGCTGCTATAAGAAACATGAATTTGAATGACTGTTATTTTTTCATATCTTGGTTACTCTTTTAGGGTATTTCTACACTACCACCCTAGTTCAAACTAGGGTGTTTAATGTAGTCAATTGAAGTTGCAAATGAAGCCCGGGATTTAAATACCCCGGGCTTCATTTGCATCTTGCCGGGCGCTGCCATTTTTAAATCCCTGGTAGTTCGGACTCCGTGCCCGCGGCTACACGCAGCACGGAGTGGGTAGTTCGAATTAGGCTTCCTAATTTGAACTACCGTTACTCCTCGTGGAACATAGGGTGGTAGTGTAGACATACCCTTATAGTTTTTTAAGAAAGATGAAATGGGAGATAACAAGAGGTAAAAAAATGGGAGGGTTATACCAAAGTGTATGTTTTTTAAAAACCTCATTCTCTCAAGTGTATCACTGAAATTAATTTTAGCTAAAATGTTTTTGTAACACTAGCACATTTACCTGGTATTGCTTTGGTACTTAAGGAAGGGCTTTGGGGCTTCAGGTGTGGGGGGTGCAGGAGTCAAGGTTGGGGGATGAAGAGAGGCTCTAGGCAGGAGACTGGGTGGGGGAGGGCAGCCCCTCCCCGAGATACATAAGAGGGCTTCTAGTTTTTCCCCTTTCTGTCCCTGTTAGGGAGAGAGGACAAAGTACAAAGCTTGTCTTTCTTTGGTGCTCCCCAGGCAGTGGGAGGAATGCCACAAACTGCATTTTCTTCTCACTCCTCGATGAAGGGGAATAGCCAGCAATATCACTGTATGACTCTCGGGGCTGAGGGGAAGCGCCTCCCTAAAGGGAGCCTGGGGGGTTGGAGGCTCAGGGATGGAGTAGTCCCTGATTGGAAGGGGGTGCACCTGCAGTCAGACCCTTTCACCTGCCTGGTGATTCTGTCTCTTTCATGTATGGTTTTATGAGAAGTAATCCCATTCCAGGCACATCCCATTTCCTGGTACCACCAAACCCTTGCACTGCTTTAAATTGTGATAAGAGGAAGCTGTATACGGAATTTAGTGGGCCTAGCTCTTTCCATTTAGGAGCAGTTCTTGAACAAACAGACAAACTCTATCAGATATATAGTAGATTATGAAATTTAATAACTGGGAAAATATTTTGTGGCATTTATTTTCCAGAAAGTAACTTTCTGAATTATTTTCTTTTTGACTGTGCACACTGTATGTTGAGGAAATGATTGATTTTTTTTTCATATACCCTGTAAAATCATGGGAATAATATTTCAAAATGAAGATTTACTACATATTTTATCATTATTTTCCTATTGTAATGCTTTTTTAAAAATTAGTTTTCTCTTAACTCTTGGAGATGCAGATCTGTAATATTTCACTTATTTGCTTACAAATTGTGCGATGGGAATGATATATGATTGGTATTCAACAATTGTAGTACCTGTAATTGTCTTGAACACTTTGATTTGGCACTGATTGCGGATGTGGGGGGGGAAGGAGGGACAGTCTATAGAGAAGGCTGTTTACCATAATTGAACTATTACACAAAAACAAAATGATGACTGATGCCATCCTATTTGCTCTGTGTTTTTAATCTCATTGATTTTCCTTAACAGATAGTCTTATCATTACTGACAGAACTCAAAGGAAATCAGTTTAATGGACTTAACATTCCAGGGAGGTAAGTGTTATCTAAACTTCATTTTACGATGTCTTAGTTTGAATCATTAAAGTTCAGTGAGGTCCTTCTGAAAAATGTTTTGAAATAAGTATTTAGACTTAAAATACAGCTTCGGTATTGCACAAGCTAATTAAATGGAACATGACAGAAAACCTTTTATTTACCAGATAATCATAGACTTTGTGTATAGTACATGTCCTTCTTTAACAGTTATGTATTTTCTTTCCTTGTTTATCATATCAATGAACAGTGCACATATTATTGTATGCTTACTATGTAACGAGTCCAAATTTATTACTTATGTTGAGGAGTCCTGATTCTCACAGTAGTTCCATTGAGATTATTATCCAGATGATACTCAACACAAGTAGACCCACTGAGTCAATACATATAATTGGGTGATAGAAGTGCTGTTTGAGCTGACTTGGCAGCAATATTTCTTTAGTTAAAAAGAACAATTAATTATATTTGCTTATGTAACTTCCCTTTTTTCTCCCTGGGTTACCTGGGAGCTGGTCATACTAATGTATGCCTGGGAGCCTGATGTTTTTAACATAAAAGGAGATTCTGAGTACCCCAGTGGTGGTGGTGGTGATTAGTTGGGGATTCCCTATCCACCCTCTTGCTGCAGTCCCTTGCTTCCAAAGACTATATAATGGCGGTGCCTCCACCTGGCTGGCCCTGTACACACTTATGGTGTGCTTTGGGAGCCTCCAGGAATAAAATTATTCCAGTGATAACCTAGAACTAACTCCCAAGTCAACAATTATAAATTAGATATATCTAACTGATTAAATTAGAATTAACACGCTTTTACTTAACAACTTAAAGAAACCGGGTTTAACAGAATAAAAGTGAACAAAATCAATTAAAAAGTACACAGAAAGAAAGGAAACTTATCCATCTGGCATTTGCACTGCCACCATTTATTCTACCCACCAGAGTGTGTACTCCAATGGATTCAGAGTCCCAGACACTTGCTTGCGTGGGCGCACTTGAAGATCTGCAGCTGGAGTGGAGACAGCACTGTACATGTTCTGTGTATGTTAGTCCAAGCTGAGCAGCCAGCTGCAAAATCCCTCTGCCACTGGAGCAGGCCTCACCAAATGCCAGCAGCTCTGGTTCCCTGGGCAGATCACTCTGGCTCTCATTGCACCCAGAGTCAGTTTGTCTTTTGTGCTCTGACCCAGGCAGCACTTTTCCAAACAGCCCAGTTAACCAGTCACCTCCTGTGTAGGTTTATTTAAGCTCTTCCCAGCCATAGGCACAGCCAGGATCTCTCCTCTCCAGGGACAATCAACAGCAGCCACCAAAGCAGCCTGCTAGATCCAAGCCCCAGCAGTAACAAACTCAGTAATAGGCTCTAGCTGCAACACAACAGTTCCTGGCTTAGAAAAGGCTCCACACCGGCAGCCTGGTGCCTCTCTCCAAAAATAGAGCCTAGCCTAAGTCTCCATCTGTATAGCCTGGAAGAGGCACTGTTCCCCCTTTTTCCCAAGGGCTCATGGGAGTTTTAGTCTCTAGGGCTAGATTGCAGCACAAAGGATCCTCCGACTAGAAGTCAGAGGCCCCTTTAATAAGGGAACTACACTTAGTTCTAGTTTTCCTACCCACTTTGTATCTACCTCTCCTTAGTATGTCTTGTACTCTGGGCTTTTTGAAATGAAGACCATAACCTTTTAATAAACAATTAAAAATTATTTTCATAGTTGCTTACATCAGAATCAAAGTTTGTCAGCAAAAATAGAGGGATACGTACAGTGCTTTTTTTGCTTAAAAAAAAAAAGTGCCAGTACTCCAGGCGAAAAGTTGTTGAGCTCTGACTGGAGGTGCTGGTACTGTGTCTGGAGATGCCGGTACTGCGTACCGGGCAGTACCATCACAAAAAAAGCACTGGATACGTACCACATGTATTGAATTGAAGTATGGTTGTTACTTGACAAGCTTTTGTAAATGTGTCCATTTTACTCGGCGATGCACTCTATGTACAGAAAGCCCTCGCCCTTCGCTGTTTTGCTATTCATGGCTTAACATATTCACAGTGTGCTGCTCCACAGTAGTCCAAGCACTTGGCACAGAGTGATGATTCTTTTTCAGTGTGCTGTAGTAACAGAGCCTGAAAGTTATAAAGGAAATTGAAGCTACAGTGATGCCGTACTGGGAAATTTTAGATATTATATATGTTTATTGCTTTATTACATGTATATATTAATTTATTGCATCAATGCATTCTTTTATGAAGACAATGTAGCTTTGTGATGGAAGCACCTCCTCCCTCACCAGTATTTGCAGATTTCACCATTCACGGTGATCTCAAGAACATATCCCTCATGAAGGGTGATGGTTTCCTCTATGTTCTGTCATAGCTGCTCACTTAAGTAACAAAATATTTTTTTACTACTTGTGCTAATTCTACAGGGCTTATATAGTGGAAGTCAAGAAAGGAGGATTATACTCCTTCTTGTACATTGTCAGCAGAATAGTTGGTTGTCCAGTCCCAGAGAAAACTGCAATAGGAGACAGGAGGGGATTTGGTCATCTACATGGAAACTGAATCTTTGTATTAGCTCTGGGGCAACCAACTAGGGATGTTAAATTTCTATTAATCAGATAATCAAATAGTTGATGGAATTTCCATCTATTACTCAATTAGTTGATAAGGGGGGCATTCGCTGTCCTGCTGACTCTCTCCTGTTGGAATGTACAGGAGCCATGGGCAGTGGGAAAGGGAGAGGAGCAGCAGTTGGGACTGACGTGAGCGGGAACGTTTCAGTCCCTGTTTGTGCTGTTTCCTCACTGTCCTCTGCTTCTCCTGCCCCCTGCAGAGATGGTGCTGGGGGGAACTGGCTTTTAAGCCAGCTTCCCCCAGCACCGGTTCCGACTCCCCCCCCATTTGCTGGGGCGGTGGGGTGGCGGGAGTTCCTAGTTGAGTTCCTACTCAAGCATTTGCTTATCAGGTAGTTGACTAGTTGCTTAATCCCTACAACCTACCCCCGACTCCCATCCTTGTTTCTCATGCAAAGAGCCTTGTCTGAATCTGCCTTAGTATGAATGCTTTCCCTCTCTCACTCACGCACTCTCTCTCTCTCTCTCTCCCTCCCTCCCCCTCCCCCGAGTTGTTTAATTGAGGTGTAGATATTCAGGATCAGCTGCAGCTCTGGGACCCTCCCACCTCACAGAGTCTTAGAGTCCAAGCCTGAATCTCTACACCTATTTCGGCGAGGAGTCCTGTGGCACCTTATGGACTAACTGAAGTGTTGGAGCATAAGCTTTCGTGGGCAAAGACCCACTTCGTCAGATGCATGTAGTGGAAATTTCCAGAGGCAGGTATAAATATGCAGGCCAGAATCAGGCTAGAGATGACGAGGTGGATCCAATCAGGGAGGATGAGGCCCACTTCTAGCAGCTGATCTGGAGGTGTGAATTCCAAGAGGAGAAGCTGCTTTTGTAGTTAGCTAGTCATTCACAGTCTTTGTTTAATCCTGAGTTGATTGTGTCAAACTTGAAGATGAACTGTAGGTCAGCAGTTTCTCTCTGAAGTCTGGTCCTGAAGTTTTTTTGCTGCAGGATGGCTACCTTTAGATCTGCAATAGTGTGTCCAGGGAGTTTGAAGTGAAGATGAACTGTAGCTCAGCAGTTTCTCTTTGAAGTCTGGTCCTGAAGTTTTTTTGCTGCAGGATGGCTACCTTTAGATCTGCAATAGTGTGTCCAGGGAGTTTGAAGTGTTCCCCTACAGATTTTTGTATGTTGCCATTCCTAATATCTGATTTGTCCATTTATTCTTTTATGTAGGGATTTTTATCAGTAGTTTCACGGAGGTAACTGGGAGTGCTGGTGGGATAGGGTCTGAGTAGAGAGTTCACATATCCAGACAGTCCTTCAGTGAGAGTGCCAATGCCGGAGATGATGGGGCATCCAGGATCTCCAGGTTTGTGGATCTTGGGTAATAGATAGAACAACCCTGGTCGGGGCTCTAAGGGTGTGTTGATTTGTTCCTGTGCTTGTGTGGGGAGTGCCCTGAGCAGATGATGCAGTTTCTTAGTGTATTCCTTAGTGGGATCTGAGGAAAGTGGCCTGTAGAATTTGGTATTGGAGAGTTGTCTGGCAGCCTCCTTTAGGTAGTCAGGCCTGTTCATGATGAAACAGCACCTCCTTTATCAGCGTCTTTGATTATAATTTCAGAGTTGTTCCAGAGGCTGTGGATGGCATTGCATTCTGCACGACTAAGGTTACAAGGCAAGCGATTCTGTTTTTCCACAATTTCTGCCTGTGCACGTCGACGGAAGCATTCTATGTAGTGGTCCAGACTGTCATTTCGACCCTCAGGAGGATTCCATGTGGAGTTCTTCTTGTGCTGTTGGTGGGAGGGTATCTGTGTGGCAGTGCACTGTTCAGTGTTGTGTTGGAAGTACAGGCAGTCCCCAACTTACGCGGATCCGACTTACGTCGGATCTGCACTTACGAACGGGGCTTTCTCGCCCCGGAGGTCGAGGTAGCGGATTGCTACCTGCGAGCTCCGGGGCGAGAAAGCCCCGTTC